CAACGGAGTTAAGGATCCACGCGCAGTTTATTAAACAAAGAATGGTCAGACAGCAACGGTCAAAACGGGGGCAAACAGAAGCATACAGGTTATCCTAAATACGTAGTCAAAAACTATTTGTGTGTGTGTGTGTGTGTGTGTGTGTGTGTGTGTGTGTGTGTGTGTGTGTGTGTGTGTGTGTGTGTGTGTGTGTGTGTGTTATGGCTGGGCGATATGGGCAAAATATCATATCCTGGTATTTTTAGAAGGAATGACGGTATTCAATATATATCTGGTATTTTCCCATAAATGGTTTATTGGGGGTTAACGCCTTAATAAAACATTCTTAAACATTTATAATAAAATATAATATAAAATATCATTTAAACACAGCGGTTTCCCTCCCTGTTTACAAATAAACAGCTGCACAAAAAATACAAGCTGCACAAAATGTTTGATGAATATGCAGAAGAAATGATCGATAAAAGGTTTCTGATGAACTGCTGTGACAGCTACAGGCGCTGTGTGACGTGTGTGCACACGAAGGGGAGTCAGATTATTTTGGGGAGTCAGATTTAGATACAACACAGGAACTGCATGTTCCTCCATGTTGCGTCAGTGATGGGTCGTTCTTGAATGATTCATTCATTTTGAACAACTCTTTTGGAAGCTCAGGGAGTAAATCATTAATTTGAGCATACACACATTTGTGCAAATGAAGCTTAGGTGCTGCTACCTTGGAGGGGTCTGTTTCGCACAGAATGCACACAGGGGGCCTCAAACCATATCAATATGAACGATACTGCTTAACACTGCATCGCGTTGGGGAATCATATCAATATATCCCCAGAACCCGATTTACTGCCCAGCCCTAGTGTGTGTGTGTGTGTGTGTGTGTCCGACCAAATAGTTCACAGCTGTAGCAGGAGTTGATTGGCACAAAGCATCCTGGTAGTTGTGGTTCATGTGGTGGCATGTGTATAGTTCTCCAGCCATCTGCAAAGGCTTGATCGCTGGTGAATGTGACAATATTCTTGATAAATTAAGTCTTAAAAGTTATTACATCTATTTTATTAATGTTTGTATATCACAAAATCAGTATAGAAACATAATTATTACTTTTAAAAGAAGTTGATATAAAATGTACTGAACATTATGTTCTCTGGGTAAAATCATATATATTTTAATATGTATGTATGTATGTATTTATGTATGATTGTATGTATGTTGTGAACTTAAAAAAAATAAAAAATCCTTACCTCAGCAAAAAGTAATTTATTTCATTTCAATTTAAATACAAAGTAGATAATGTATATTTAAAGTAAATATATTTGCAATAATTACATTATAAATACACATTCATCTTTAGATCTCTCAATCCTGAAAAACACTGTGACCCAAAAATATTGGACAACCGTTTTCAACACTGATGATAATACATAAATAAAATATCATATATCTTAATAAATAATAAATATTTCTTGAGCCTCAAATTAGCATATTAGAAAGATTCATGAAGGATGATGTGACAATGAAGACTGTAGTAAGGATGCTGAATATTCACAAGGAATAAATTATATTTGATTCAAATTTTCATGCATTATAATATAAAACAGTTATTTTAAATTGTAATAATACTTTCACAATAGGGTGGCAATGTGGCTCAGTGGTTAGTACTGTTGCCTCACAACAAGAAGGTTGCTGGTTCAAGTCCTGGTTGGGTCAGTTGGCATTTCAGTGTGAAGTTTGCATGTTCTTTTCTTGTTTGCATGGGTTTACTCCAGGTGCTCTGCTCTAGTCCAAAAACATGCGCTATAGGTGAACTGGATAAACTAAATTGGCTGTAGTGTGTGTGAATGAGAGAGTGTATGGGTGTTTCACAGTACTGGGCTGTGGCTGGAAGGGCATCCGCTGCATAAAAAAATATGTTGGAATAGTTGGCGGTTCATTCTGCTGTGGAGACCCCTGATTAATAAGGGAGTAGGCTGAAGAAAAATGAATGAATAATACTTTAATAATTCACTGTATCCTTGATATTAAAAATGCAACCTGCAAGCGATCACATGATTCTTCTTACTCTCAAGCTTTGTGGTTAAAAATATTATATAAACAATAATTAATGCAATCAGAGCAACCACCTAATTAGTGTTTAAGTATAATGATAAACTACATGATTACATGTCTCTAAGATTTACAGAATATACAATAATCCATCATGAACTTGTATGTCATTCCATTACTTAAATAAAGCCCAATCCACCTCTGATAGAACTCCACACTCTACATGGTAATTGCATTAATCCTCTCAGGTCCAGCTTTGCCCACAGACAAAAACATCTGTATCCACAATCGCTGGAGTTGGGTTTCAACGCAATCCTAATTACATCGCTATGAGATTATTATGCGCCGACTGACCTTTTGTTCAGTCAATTATCAACAGGCATTTCCACAGTCGGGCAGGATTTACCCAGTAGAAATCAGGCTGTGCACCATCAAGGTAACCCAGAACATGCCAGCAGCTCTGCATATAAGCCTCCCAATGTATCAAGTGTAAATAGGATTATATGTGGCTTAACAATAATCTCCTGACAGAGGATTTATACGAAGGCAAAATACTCTCCAGGTGTGCGTTTGACATACAGAGCTAATGGTCCAATACAATTGAATGAGATGTACAGTGAACTTTATGCCCACTGGGATGCTGATGTACGATAATAACAGGAATTCCTATAATGTGAAATGATGTGTACATGTTTCTAACAGTCACATATTTTACCATTAATTACACACCGAAAAAACTAACAAAAATTAAAGATTAGAAAAAAACTGCTTCATAGCCATCAGGCCTTCTTCCAACTATCATCTAGCAAAGCATTACAATTATGCTAAAAAAAGTTGTCATACCATGCTAATAAAATGCTAATTCAAGCTAGCATTGAATTAAACATAATAGCAGTCTAACAATTTTTGTTAGCAATGTGCTCAGCTGTGTTAGCCTTGTGGCTAAACATCCTAGCAATGTGCTAAATCACACCAAAGATATTTACATTAGATGTTGCCTATGCTCTTGTTGTCTATTGAAAGAAATGCGTCAATAGAGCCGTCATTTTAGTACAGGGTAGCACTCCTTTGAAATGAATGTGAACGAGTGTGTATTTGTGTGCATGGAAATGTATTATCCTCCCTCCCTGTTAAATTTGATCTAATCCATGTCCTGAAACACACCCGCTCTCCTGCTTCTACTTTTGATACTAATGGAGGGAGCAATTCGTTTGTAAATGAATACCCATTATGAATGACTTGTGTGAACCATCGATATGCCTGCGTCTCAATTTGCACATCCACCTTTCTGATCTAAATAAACATTTGTAATAATCAATGATTTAGGGTGGACAGTATGCACATTGAGGCACAGGCACTGTAATGCACCCTTATGAGTTACTTAAAAAACGTTTTTGAACGATAATAGTGCAAGTTTCTGGCAGAACAGCATCTTTTTGTCATATTTAATTTACATTGTTTGCTGATTTTATTCAACAAAACTAGCATAAGTCTAGAATTTAGTGCCAGTTGGTGCTACTTTGCCTTATGGTTAGGTCAGTAAGTGACAGTATTATCATAATCAACAACTTTACTTTAGCACTAATACAAAATCAAAAATGAAATCTTGCCTATGAAATGTTCTGCCTTTATGTGTTTTTTTTTTTTTTTTTTTTTTTGCTTGTTACTACACCCATTCACAGTGCAGAAGTCCAGCATCCTCAGATTGGCTTTGGTCTTTACTAGTGCGGTTGAATAACATTTGTCCTGGGAGCACTGTATAAATTTAGCAATGGTATTGACGCATGCTCAGGGTCCGTATGTGATATCTAGTGCATATATCTATGAACTAGCAAAAATATACAAACAACATGTTATGTAAGGGATAAAGAACATCCAAGGAAGTTGTTATCATGACATAAATCCCGACAGTCTTTTTGGCAGCCCGACGTGAAGTAGATGAGCTTGTGTTACTCAGTGGTTAATATTTTGGAGGAAAATACACTGGAATGTTGTTTCTGACCAATCAGAATTAAGAATTCCCGACAGACACATAATAACTTATGCTAAAACCATGCTAGTAACATTTAAACCTGTCAGTAACATTTACATAATGTATACTAGCAACATGCTAAAATGGTCTAAAACATGCAATTACTTGTTAGCAACATCCTTTAACATGCTAGCAAGGTTCAAAATAAATCCATAACAATGTGCTAAAACATGCTAATAACCTGCTAAAACATGTTTGTTCTAAATCTATTTAATAACATACAAGCCACATGCTTTTTTTAAAATAAACTGAACCTTTTTAATTATTATTAACAGCTTTTAAATTTCAAAACAACACACTTGATTTAAAACCTTAGTATTTATATTAAGACAAATGCTGTGTAAATTATGTTAATTCTCCCATGCTGAATAAAACAATATATTCATATTATTATTTATAAATTATTATTTATAAATATGCATTTCTATTTATTAAAATAACAATATTAAAAATAATACAGACTAACTCTAAGCTTGGAAACATACCGTGTAGCCTGGCACCTAATTTTATCTTCAGGAATAGTTAATGCAGATTTGTCAGGGTTTAAAATAGATATTTGTTAATGGTTAAAAATTTGAAATAATAATAATAAATGGATTTTTTGCGAGATATTTCAATTCACTGTTTAACTGAAAATCTGCTTTTGAAGACATCTGGATTCCTAAGATGGTGTGCTACTTAGATCAAAATTCCATGTCCATTTATTCATTAATTTTGCTAAATATCCATATAGTAGGAGGAATATACAACAACTAACAACAATGCAAAACCCTTTAGGGTGAAAGGAGAGCCACATTTACACTGAATTGAATCAAAAATCAATGCATGATGAAATATGATCATAGAATGGGTTATAATACTTATTAACTATAAATAGAACTGTTAGTAGTCATTTAAAAAAAAAGTATTTAAAATAACAAGATCTTACTGGTGCGTGCAGGGCAGAAGGAGGCAGGCACACTGTCATTAGCATGACTGGAGTCCCAGGGTTCACAGCGATTTTCAATCCAGAGACAGCGAACTCCAGGACCGGCACTCTGACAAACATCCTCCCTGATGAAGGCCTCACAGCTGGCAGGCTTAAACACCAGCACATCGTTCTGGATCACACCAGAGAAACCACCAAAAATATACATGGATCTGAGGGAACAGAAAACAGACCTTTTTCATATTGTAACCAGTTTGTCTTGCCAACACAATTTTCCAAAGGAAATGAGAGGATAAGACCACACATTCAAGTAAATGTTTCTTTTGTGACACATCGTTATTTGGGTAAATTAACTTCAGTGGAAAAATGAAATAAACTGCAGTTAGAGTGCAGAGCCTGATGGTATCAGTGAATGGAAAGTGATCATGTTAAGATCTCACCCATTATTGACAACAGCTGTGTGTCCAAAACGGTTGATGTCCCGGTGAAGACTAGGATTTGGAAGAACTGTCCACTCATCACATGCTGCAAAACACACACACACACACACACACACACACACACACACACACACACACACACACACACACACACACACACACACACACACACAAAGAGAGAAAATACAACAAGAATTAAAAAATAGTATGAGGCTTTTTGATCTAATTGATCTACAGAGGACAATAAAATACTATGACAAAACTTTAAAACCTATATAATATAGTTAATATAGTTATTTTTAAATATATATATATAAACAGTTGTATTCAGTAATTGACTGTAACATTATAATATGTAACATTATAATCTTAACCACTTTTAAATGCTTTTACTTTATTTTTAAAGTTTTTTTTTTTTTTTTTTGTTTTTTTTTGTCATCTCCACACCAAGAATAGATTATTGTGTAAAAATACAAAAAATGCAAATGCTGCAAAATCTTGATGGTTATTATTATTTTAAAGAACAACTATTTTACCCCTTTTACAAGATGTACCATAAGCCTTTGGTGTCTCCAGAATGTGTCTGTACAGATTCAGCCCAAAATACCCAACATTTAATATTTATTATAGCCTCCAGAATATGCACATTTTGGTGGCTTTGAATGCAAATGAGCTGCTTCTCCCTGCCCACTGTTTCCACGTGCGTGTCTGCTTCTCATCATGCATTACATCAGATAAACAGCAGTCAGTGACAGAGACAGACTCGGATGAAGCTGAAATCGAGCTCATTAGTCAAAAATTCAAGCTATTCTGAAATGATGAGTCTCAAACAAATACCGTTTGCAGTACACACACACATATGAGTGTTTACTGACACCATGCGGCTACGGTGACTATAGCAGTTAAGAATTCTATAGCGATTTTTCTCTCTTTATTACAAACATGCACATTTAAAAAACTTTTTAAACTTATAAAACATTTTAATCTCAGTTTCTTTGCAACAAAATGTTCTGTGGACATGTGGATACATGTTATTATAGAAACATGATGCATGTCCATCAATTCGGTGTGCGGGAGAGAACCACACTCCTATGTCATGTTGCGGTGGGCCTAAAAATAGAAGGGATTTGGATCCTATTTTAATGTCAGGAAAATAAAAAAAAGAGACTTTATGTGTTTATATCACTCCAATATCACAGGGGGTGTCAAAAGTAATTGTTTTTTGGTGCACTGTGATGCAGACAATTTAGTATCGGTTCAGTAATAATCATAACCGGTTATTATGTAGTAATGTCATTTATTTATCTCATATGCGCTATGTCGGTGTAGATTACTATGCAAGGGAGGTGAGCACGAGTATTTACAACACTCCAACTAGGGCTGAACAATTTTGGCTAAAATGTGAATCACAATTTTTTTTTGCTTAAAATCACGATTCTTTTTCATGATTCTCTTAAATGTAAAATAAAGGTTAATATAAGTAGCCTATTATTATTATTAATACTCAAACATATCGTCACCTTGGAATTATAAGATTCTATCTGCATTCTGAATGATTTTGTGATATTGAGCTTCAAAGTTTTTGCATTCCATAGAGCAAACAATGTGTGTAATATTTTATTTATTTTTTAAAGTGTTAAAATGTAAACAATAAAATGTCAAAATGACAAAAATGTCAGATAGAACCTTATAATTCTAAAGTGATGATTTGTTAAAACAACAACACTACAATACTAGAGTAGCCGCCATTGGTCTGCTGCATGCACGTGCACGTTCTCGGTAGCTGGCTGTAATACATCATTACATGAAGACAGAAATGACATTTCTGGGTGAATTATACCTTATAAATACAGCATGTGACACTTTTAACGCCATTTGAAGGTGTTCATGTTCCTGTGAAGACTTGTGTAACCGCCTTTAAGCTTCTCTCCTGACCTTGAATATATAATTGGCTTAATCGTAGAAAAGCTGAATTAAGATCATGATCTTTTTTCGATTAATCGTAATCGGGAAGCCCTAGTTCCAACTACTTAAAAATGCAGAAACTGTGCTGTTTCACTGCATGTGTGTTTGCTGGACAGACTTACACTGACACAGCAGCAGCACCTATTTCTCTGCGATTGAAAGAATGAAAGTAAACTCCATTTCTCTCCCTCTCTCTTTCTCTCTCTCACTGTGGCCCTTTTGACCTTCTGGCGTGACTTTTCCTCTCCTCTCGGCTGTTACAGCGATACTTCTGGATAGAGGTCTGCAGGAGCAGCAAGACCCGACCAGATTTCTTGCGGTGCAGGAATAAATTTCCAATTAAAGTGCGGGAGCAGTCGGTAGCTCTGATGTAATTTGAATGGCAGCGGGCAATGTAACAATATCGCTCCCGAGCGAGCAAGCACGCGTGTGTGTGTGTGCATGCTTACGTTTATGTGTGTGAATGAGAGAGAGCATGACGCTGTGTGTCGCTTTCGCTTGCTTGGTGCTGTGTGTCTATGTGTGTTTAACCAGACAGCTTGTTACATGCTCTCTAGTATCTGACATGCCCTGCCCGCTTCAAGACACTTTCCATTTGCTTTTCATTTGATGCACTTGGCTGTTTTTAAAAAGAGGGAAGAGCTAGACATATATGCCCCATTCTCTCTTCGTTTTCGGTTGAGATTATGTCAAGTATCTTAAAAAAAATGCATATTTTAAAGCACTTCACATGACCTTTGCTGTGAATGAGTTGCTTTTTACTTATCTCAACTGAGACATCTAATATCAGTGCAGAGATATTTTACACAGAAATGCCACAGCAGTAGTGTAAACCACACTCTATGCAAACCAAACCGTTTTTTACTGACAGAGACATCTGTGTTTTTTGAGCTGTATGTGTTTGTCCAGGTTACATGAGCTCCGTGGCATATGTTTCTCCCAGGCTGCCAGATCGGACACACTCTCTGCTCGTTACACGCTCTTTAATTCACTAATTAGCTGCACTCATGGTCAGTTAATCAGATGGGAGAAAAAAACAAAGGCTCTCTTTACATTTGACAAGCTTTCCTGATAGTAAATGCATTTAATGTGCTTATATACTATATAATGGGTCGAAAAAACACACAATATGTAAACTCTGTTAACAACCCCTCCTGCAGAGATGTTTTATAGCATGAGATCCTTATATAAGCGAACAACAATTTACAGATCACAGGAAAGCGAGAGAAACAGACAGAGAAACAACTGTCGCATCCAACATCTCACAGCCTCCCTCCAGCAGCACTGATGACAGCAGCAGAGATTAACAACACGCATTACATGTGCTCAAGAACAGCACTGCATCACAGAGATATCAGCAATAAAACAACACAGTGTCTGGTGAGAGTGAACATAGAGACAAATAAACCCCTGAATACTTTCATAAGGGGCTTGTTTTCTGAGTAATCTCTTCTCTACATATGCCAAAATGTCAATACAATGTCAGAAGAATGTTGAAATCTAGTGATGGACAGATGTAAAATTAGGCTGAAAATCTGGCTGATTTTAAAACAATGTTAGCTCAGTTGACGTCATGGCTCCATTGTTAGACAGATGTTTAAGAAAAATCGGGCTGACGTCAAAACCAGATGTTTGCTTCATGACTAAACCAACTTCAACATTGGACAGAGCCGACGTCAAAACCAGATGCTAGATTGATGTCAACCTCTAATGATGAACAGATGTCATAATTAGTTTGAAAGTAAAAATCGGATTGGCGTCTAAATTAGCTGAATGGACAGTCATATCACGATAACCATTTTTAAGGTATACTGTGGTTTGAAAAAGAAAAAGGCTTTATAACCGCCAAAACTTTCTGCCATACTGTTCCTACGTTATATGTAAGTTTTTTTTTTTACGTTTTGTTTTTATTTTTCCAGGACAACAGTATTTTTAGCAGAAACGATATCCTAGAAAAGAACAGTTGTGTTTTGAAACCTAATGAAGATAGCAAAATCAATGATTCAGTTGAATTATTTAGCCTGACATGTTTACTGCTTTAAAATATTTTAAAAGTTTTTCAAAACAAAATATTTTGTGTTTAAAGGGAAAAAAAAGATTTTTGTTTTTTACCCAGATATTTTAAAATGATATATTTTAGAGCAGTAACCACAATACAGTAAAACCATTATGTTCTTATCCAAGGTTATCATACCATCAGAATCTTATACCAGACCATGCCTACCATTTCTGGTTAAATAAACCAGACAACCTTGGACAAAGCTAAAATTTTGATAGAAAACTAAAGTCAGATTGATGTCAAAACCACACGTTAGCTTAAAGATATGAGCTTCTACATTGGACAGACCCAAAATTGTAGTTTTACACCAAGATCAAAAAGACGCTGTGTTTGGGTTGGAAATGAAAGTCAAGTTTACATCAAAACACTGGCTTGACATTAGTCTCCAACATCAGACAGTCTTTGCATTTTAGCTGGGATTTAAAATCGAGATGACATCAAAACTCAGCATTGGCTTGAAGTCAACCTCCAACATCAGGCAGTAGCACTGGTTCCAAATAAACATGGGCTTAAAGTCAAAGCTCCATGTTGTGTTTACATCACAGCCCAACAGACAGACCTTACATTCTGGTTGGACCTAAATATGTCAAAACCCTACATTAGCACTTAAAGATGCATAAATATAGTGTTATAGGTCACACTTTACAATAAGGTTCATTGGTTATAGCATTTACTAACATGAACTACGTATGAACAATACTTGTACAGCATTAATCATAATTATTAATCAAAATTCATTTACTAATGCATTATTAACTTCCAAATAATGCTTGTTATCAATAGATAATGCACCGTGAACTAACAATGAACAACTATTTTCATTAACTAGCGTTGAATAACATGAACAAATACTGTAGTAAACGTATTGTCCATTGTTTATGTTAGCAAACGTATTAACTTACATATACTAATTAAACCTTATTGTAAAGTGTTACCGTCTTATAGTAGATCTGTATGTGCAACAATGTTCTTATTATATTCATTATGTAAGGGCTAAAGTACATCCAGGCAAATGTTATCGCAAAATAAAGCCTGGCAGGCTTACCGTCAGTTGTATTAGCTTTTATT